GATCGATATAACCCTAAACGGAGGAGTCCAGGGTCTGCGGCCTCGGGTCCTGGGTCTGCGGCCTCGGGTCCTGGGTCTGCGGCCTCGGGTCCTGGGCCTCTCTCTCTCGGCCTCTCTCTCTCGGCCTCTCTCTCTCGGCCTCTCTCTCTCGGCCTCTCTCTCGGCCTCTCTCTCTCGGCCTCTCTCTCTCGGCCTCTCTCTCTCGGCCTCTCTCTCGGCCTCTCTCTCTCGGCCTCTCTCTCTCGGCCTCTCTCTCTCGGCCTCTCTCTCTCGGCCTCTCTCTCTCGGCCTCTCTCTCTCGGTCTCTCTCTCTCGGCCTCTCTCTCTCGGTCTCTCTCTCCCGGCCTCTCTCTCTCGGCCTCTCTCTCTCGGTCTCTCTCGGCCTCTCTCTCTCGGCCTCTCTCTCTCGGCCTCTCTCTCCCGGCCTCTCTCTCTCGGCCTCTCTCTCTCGGCCTCTCTCTCGGCCTCTCTCTCTCGGCCTCTCTCTCTCGGCCTCTCTCTCTCGGCCTCTCTCTCTCGGCCTCTCTCTCTCGGCCTCTCTCTCTCGGCCTCTCTCTCTCGGCCTCTCTCTCGGCCTCTCTCTCTCGGCCTCTCTCTCTCGGCCTCTCTCTCTCGGCCTCTCTCTCTCGGCCTCTCTCTCTCGGCCTCTCTCTCTCGGCCTCTCTCTCTCGGTCTCTCTCTCTCGGTCTCTCTCTCTCGGTCTCTCTCTCTCGGTCTCTCTCTCTCGGTCTCTCTCTCTCGGTCTCTCTCTCTCGGTCTCTCTCTCTCGGCCTCTCTCTCTCTCGGCCTCTCTCTCTCGGCCTCTCTCTCTCGGCCTCTCTCTCTCGGCCTCTCTCTCTCGGCCTCTCTCTCTCGGCCTCTCTCTCTCGGCCTCTCTCTCTCGGCCTCTCTCTCGGCCTCTCTCTCTCGGTCTCTCTCTCTCGGTCTCTCTCTCTCGGCCTCTCTCTCGGCCTCTCTCTCGGCCTCTCTCTCTCGGCCTCTCTCTCTCGGCCTCTCTCACCTGAGGATGCAGGGGTGCGACAGGCGGTTCATCAGTTGCACTTCTCGCAGCATGTTGGCTCTGTTACTGCTCAGTTTGTTCATCTTCAGAGCCATGACCTGGTCTGTGGCTCGGTGACGCACCTGCAAACACACACACACACAGACACACAACACACGCACACAGACACACAACACACACGCACAAACATAAATGCAATGAGATGAGATGCATCCTTGTCTTCTATTACACTTCAAACTAACAAACGCACATTTAAAATCTCCAAAAATGTGCCATCTATATAAGAAGTGCCCAGAATAAAGTCAATATTCTGTTTTTTTCTGAATGTTTTCTGAGAGAAGACAGTGAGAGAGAGGAGAGGAGAGAGGAGAGTGAGGTGGGGAGAGAGGAGAGAGGAGAGAGAGGAGAGAGGGGAGAGAGGTGGGGAGAGAGGAGAGAGGAGAGAGAGGGGAGAGTGAGGTGGGGAGAGAGGAGAGAGGAGAGGGGAGAGAGGGGAGAGTGAGGTGGGGAGAGAGGAGAGAGAGAGAGAGAGAGAGGAGTGAGGTGGGGAGAGAGGAGAGAGGAGAGAGGGGAGAGAGGGGAGAGTGAGGTGGGGAGAGAGGAGAGAGGAGAGAGGGGAGAGGGGAGAGGGGAGAGGGGAGAGAGGGGAGAGGGGAGAGGGGAGAGTGAGGTGGGGAGAGTGAGGTGGGGAGAGAGGAGAGAGGGGAGAGTGAGGTGGGGAGAGAGGAGAGAGGGGAGAGGAGAGAGGAGAAAGAGGAGAGGAGAGAGGAGAAAGAGGAGAGAGGGGAGAGAGGGGAGAGTGAGGTGGGGAGAGAGGAGAGAGGAGAGAGGGGAGAGTGAGGTGGGGAGAGAGGAGAGAGGGGAGAGGGGAGAGGAGAGAGGAGAAAGAGGAGAGAGGGGAGAGAGGGGAGAGTGAGGTGGGGAGAGAGGAGAGAGAGAGAGAGGGGAGAGGAGAAAGAGGAGAGAGGGGGAGAGAGGGGAGAGAGGGGAGAGTGAGGTGGGGAGAGAGGAGAGAGGAGAGAGGGGAGAGGGGAGAGTGAGGTGGGGAGAGAGGAGAGAGGAGAGAGGGAGAGAGGGGAGAGGAGAGAGGGAAAGAGGAGAGAGGGGAGAGAGGGGAGAGAGGGGAGAGTGAGGTGGGGAGAGAGGAGAGAGGAGAGAGGGGAGAGAGGGGAGAGTGAGGTGGGGAGAGAGGAGAGAGGAGAGAGGGGAGAGGGGAGAGTGAGGTGGGGAGAGAGGAGAGAGTGAGGTGGGGAGAGAGGAGAGAGAGTAGAGAGAGGAGAGAGAGGAGAGGTGGAATGGGGTGGACATAGTTGACTCCAAAGGCACTAAAACAGAGGATGTATTGTTGTCGTTGGCGTGGGTCAGATTTTCCGTCTCTGAAGCAAAACGGCCCAAACTTCTTCAGTCGTTCATCGTCACAAGAAGAAAAACGTGAAAGGAACAGATTGGATTGTGTTGTAAAGTGTGTATTTAATGACCACGCACAGGGCTCTGTGGCATGTGCTGTTCAGACACACACCACAGGGCCTGCTACAGACGCCTGCGTACAACACGGTCTTATATGCAGTTTTAACACACATATTTTTACTTTTAACAGCTATTTTTATTATATGATTTTGTAAAGCTCTATCATGAAAGTATTTGATTGATTATATGAATAAGTCCCAGTGAGAAAAGTAGTAAGAGCACACATCATATACAGAGATAGAACAGCTAATGATTCTTAAAAGAGCAGTGTGTAGACATGTGGCCAAAAGTGGTACTGCAGCCTCTCCCACTCTCCCTGACTCAGGTTGCCAGATATGCAGACGAATCCAGCTGGGACCATAACAGCTGAATAGACAAGAGTTTTGTCAACAACAAATCTATAACCAACACCTTTTTCACAAAGATAGAAATCCTGGTTTTATTCCTTGTTTTGTCGTTAATGATTTGAGAATCATAACGAGACCTTTTTTAGTTCTGCGCCACATGGTACTTTACCAGTGAGATTAGCTCCACACGGTACTTTACCAGTGAGATTAGCTCCACTTGGTGAGTTCTGGCGCCCGGATCAGAGACTTTCTGATTGGTGAAACGGTGGAGGGCGGGACATCGAAATAAAAACAATAACAAGATTTAGAGGCTGGAAAAGTAATTTAGAACTGATAACTACTGTTATCAGTTAAAGAAGTATTTAATGATGACAGATTAGGGCCCTTTAATTATTAGTTTTTGCAGCAGTAGGTTTTGCAGTAGTAGTAGGTTTTGCAGTAGTAGTAGTTTTTGCAGTAGTTTATGCAGTAGTAGTAGTTTATGCAGTAGTGTGTGCAGTAGTAGTAGTAGTAGTACTGTGCAGTAGTGTGTGCAGTAGTAGTAGTAGTAGTACTGTGCAGAAGTGTGTGCAGTAGTAGTAGTAGTGTGCAGTAGTGTCTGCAGTAGTAGTAGTAGTGTGCAGTAGTGTGTGCAGTAGTAGTAGTAGTGTGCAGTAGTGTCTGCAGTAGTAGTAGTAGTGTGTGCAGTAGTAGTAGTAGTTTATGCAGTAGTGTGTGCAGCAGTAGTAGTGTGTACAGTAGTAGTTTTTGCAGTAGTTTATGCAGTAGTAGTAGTGTGTGCAGTAGTAGTTTTTGCAGTAGTTTATGCAGTAGTAGTAGTGTGTGCAGTAGTAGTATTTAGTGTGTGTAGAGGTCGATCTGAAACCACAGAGACTCATTTCTGAACCTGCAGCAGTTTCCACGAAAAGATTCACATCAAGAAAAGACTTAGAGAGAATATGACTCTGCTGTTCACAGACACAGACACAGACACAGACACACACACAGACACAGACACAGACACACACACAGACACAGAGACAGACACAGAGACAGACACAGACACAGAGACAGACACAGAGACAGACACACACACAGACACAGACACAGACACAGACACAGACACAGACACAGAGACAGACACAGACACAGAGACAGACACAGACACAGAGACAGACACAGAGACAGACACACACACAGACACAGACACAGACACACACACAGACACAGACACAGACACAGACACAGAGACAGACACAGAGACAGACACAGAGACAGACACAGACACAGAGACAGACACAGAGACAGACACAGAGACAGAGACACAGAGAGACAGAGACAGAGACAGAGACAGACACAGAGACAGACACAGACACAGAGACAGACACAGAGACAGAGACACAGAGAGACAGAGACAGAGACAGAGACAGACACAGACAGACACAGACAGACACAGAGACAGACACAGACAGACACAGAGACAGACACAGAGACAGACACAGAGACAGACACAGACACAGAGACAGACACAGAGACAGAGACACAGAGAGACACAGACAGACACAGAGACAGACACAGACAGACACAGACACAGAGACAGAGACACACACAGACACAGACAGACACAGAGACAGACACAGACAGACACAGACACAGAGACAGAGACACACACAGACACAGAGACAGACACAGACAGACACAGACACAGACACAGACACAGAGACACACACAGACACAGAGACAGAGACAGAGACAGACACAGACACAGAGACAGAGACACAGAGAGACAGAGACAGAGACACAGAGAGACAGAGACAGACACAGAGACAGACACAGAGACAGACACAGAGACAGACACAGAGACAGACACAGAGACAGACACAGAGACAGAGACAGACACAGAGACAGAGACAGACACAGAGACAGACAGAGACAGACACAGAGACAGACACAGAGACAGACACAGAGACAGAGACAGACACAGAGACAGACAGAGACAGACACAGAGACAGAGACAGATACAGATACAGATACAGATACACACACAGACACAGAGACAGAGACACACACAGACACAGAGACACACACAGACAGACACAGAGACAGACAGAGACAGACACAGAGACACAGACAGAGACACGGACACAGAGACACAGACAGAGACACACAGAGGGAGACACACAGAGAGACACAGAGACACACAGAGACAGAGAGACACAGAGAGACAGAGACAGAGACAGACACAGACACAGAGGCAGAGGCAGAGGCAGAGACACAGACACACAGAGAGACACAGAGAGACACAGAGAGACAGAGACAGAGAGAGAGAGACACAGACACACAGAGAGACACAGAGAGACAGACACAGACACACAGAGACACAGAGAGACACAGAGAGACACAGACGCAGAGGCAGAGACACAGACACACAGAGACACACAGAGAGACACACAGAGACACACACAGAGACACAGAGAGACAGAGACAGAGACAGACACAGACACAGAGGCAGAGGCAGAGACACAGACACACAGAGAGACACAGAGAGACAGACACAGACACACAGAGAGACACAGAGAGACAGAGACAGACACAGACACAGAGGCAGAGGCAGAGACACAGAGACACACAGAGACAGAGAGACACACAGAGAGACACAGAGAGACACAGAGACACACAGAGGCGGCTGCAGACTTGAAGCTTGAACAATAGAATTCCATATTTAGTGTCATGGCGGCGTCGCTTCCTTCAGACAAAGACTCTCTCTCACTGAGCGTGTGCAGAAAGAGGAGAAACCCCCCACGGATCATTTACACACATTCACTCTGCAAGAACCTTAGCATGCGGAACACAACCACACCAGCGTCATGCTAGCTTCAATATTAGCTTTCATACAAGGTTTTGTACTGTACATGGACAACTAATTTAACTGTGTTTTGATCCTCTTTCTTCTATGTTTATCCTTTAGCAGGACTGTCGTGTGCGAGCAACTTCCCTTTATGCAAATGAACTGATAAAGCAGAAGTAAACACCTTTAAGCAAACAGTATTCAGACCACATTAGTCCTGACTAGAACCAGGAAGTACTATCACATTAGTCCTGACTAGAACCAGGAAGTACCATCACATTAGTCCTGACTAGAACCAGGAAGTACGACCACATTAGTCCAGTCTAGAACCAGGAAGTACGACCACATTAGTCCAGTCTAGAACCAGGAAGTACGACCACATTAGTCCAGTCTAGAACCAGGAAGTACGACCACATTAGTCCAGTCTAGAACCAGGAAGTACGACCACATTAGTCCTGACTAGAACCAGGAAGTACCATCACATTAGTCCTGACTAGAACCAGGAAGTACGACCACATTAGTCCAGTCTAGAACCAGGAAGTACGACCACATTAGTCCAGTCTAGAACCAGGAAGTACGACCACATTAGTCCAGTCTAGAACCAGGAAGTACGACCACATTAGTCCTGACTAGAACCAGGAAGTACCATCACATTAGTCCAGACTAGAACCAGGAAGTACGACCACATTAGTCCAGTCTAGAACCAGGAAGTACGACCACATTAGTCCAGTCTAGAACCAGGAAGTACGACCACATTAGTCCAGTCTAGAACCAGGAAGTACGACCACATTAGTCCTGACTAGAACCAGGAAGTACCATCACATTAGTCCAGACTAGAACCAGGAAGTACGACCACATTAGTCCAGTCTAGAACCAGGAAGTACGACCACATTTTTTTTTTTTTTTTTTTTTTTTTTCTTTATTGAACAAATCAAACAGGCTTAAATATTTAGTACAATCTCAGTTTCGTGCCGTATAAAAACAAAAAACAAAAACAAAAGAACAAATTAAGAACGTAGAAAGCCACATTACTGAGTCACAAGGGTCAGAGGTAAATTCACAATATTTTTGTACAACCGAATTGCTTTCGTTGAATTACAAAGCTTCAAAGAGTCCCTAACGATTGATAGTTCGCTCAGAAATATCCTAAACAAGGATTTGGAATTACTAAATTTACATTTGTGAATAAAAAATACAGCCATGAGAATAAAATTGTTAATTGTAAATTCTTTGTTTTTGTCTTCCAGTAGGACTCCAAATTTTATGTCATGATAATTAAAGTCCATAATACTTAAAGTATTGCCAACAGACCAAGCACAGAAACTATCCCAAAATATTTTTGAATGCACACATGTGAAAAAAAGATGTTCTTCTGTTTCAATATTGGTATCGCAAAAAACACACAAATTATCGTCAGTATTGAATTTGGAGTGTAAAAATTCTTTGCACGGGTATACATTGTTCAGTAATTTAAATCTAACTTCTTTAGCTTTAGGTAGAACAGGGAATTTAATGTAACTGCATCTGAAAATCTTGACATTGTGTTTAGGGAGATCCTTCATAATATATTGTCTTCTTAACGGCAAAGGGAAGTATTTATTGGACAATGCTGCTCTTAGAAATTTGTTGTTACATTTTTTGTCCGTGAAATTACAATTTAGCACGAGTAAAGGATACATTTTTGGAACCAATTGTGTATACATTAAAGATCCCCTAATTGCACAGACAAGAGCTTGTGGAATAGCCTTGACTACTTGTAAAAATTGTTGCCTAGTGGTAATCACATTGTATTTCTGGGTGAAATCAATAAACTGAAGAAAATTACCTGTATCATCCATCAAGTGTAAGACTGACCATAT